GGAAACCCGGCCCATCTGCAGTGCTCATGCCCCCCACCCCCACCCTGTGCACTGTCTCTCACAAGCACAGCGGGGTTTCTGAGCAAAGACCAGAGAATGCCCGTAGGGTGGGCAGTGACATCTAAGGAGCCACCATGCTTCGGTTCCACCCCTTCACCTTCATGCTGTACCCTCCCATTTTACAGATGGGAAAACCGAACCTCAGAGAGCTCCCTGGCTCCTTTCCATCCACGGTGTTGGCTTCCTGGGGTGAGCATGGGGCAGGCAGCCCTGTGGGTCCTGAGGTGGGCGTGGTGGTCTCTACACCCCTGGAGCATGGCCAGCCTGCCTTTGGACGAGGAGGCAGTTCGGCTGGGCTCTTCGGGCAGCAGCGGCCACAGGGCATTGAGCCACACTGCTTGTGTTCTCGTGGCATGCATTTTCAGGGTGACCTATATTCGAGCGAAAGTAATCTTGGTGGCTGCTGTAACAATAAACGGTGTATTTTGCAATAAATTCAATCGCTTTGAAGAAAAACGCTAAGTAAAAAAAATTGAACTGGTAGCTTATGGGTTGGACAAAAAGCATGGAGGGGGGACGTGAAGGAATGAGGTCTGGGAAACAGGAGGTAAGGGGCAGGCAGTGGTCAGGGGCTGGAAACTGAGCGCGCTCCCCGACTCGGACCAGCTGTGTGGCCTCGGCCTCGGCCTTCACCTCTCTGGGCTGCATTTGTTTTGAGCCCAGTTTCCCTCAAGAGCAAGAAGCTTCTAGAACCAGCTACCTGGGTGACATCCTGACTGCCCCACAGATTCTGCAGAACTCAGAGGGAGCTAGCGGGCATGTGGAAGGCCATGGGTGTGGGGGGGCGGGGAGGACTGCAGACGATGACCAGTGTGTATCAGTGTCCCTGGCCAGTGTTAGCTGTTTGCTGCTGATATTGTTAAGGTGACGAGGTGACCCAGCAGCTGCAGGACTTTTGCCTGGAAGAGCAAGCTGTACCTTGCTGGAAGGGTAGATCCTTCCTGGCGTGAGGCTGGGGTGGGGGGTGGGCAACAGAAGAAGGAAGGTACAGGGCTGGCGGGGCAGCTCAGGTGGCGGCGGTGGTGGCGATGGCAGCGGGGTGCCGATGATGATGGCAGTGGTCAGGGCACGAGGAGCAGCAGGGGTGGCGTGGTGATGGCCATGACAGCGATGGGGATGCGGATGAGCTCAGTGGAGGGCCTGAGGGCTGTTACGGTGGAGAAGGAGAAACCCAGAGAACAAGGGGCTCTGTAGGGCTGCCCAGCAAAGTGACTTCTCCTCTGGAGCCTCACATATACATATGCGTGTGCCAGACCTAAGCACAAAGGGAAAACCACAAAACTGCAGTGACAGCTAGTTGATGGCAGCTTGTGATACTAATCAGCTACATACAAGTAACGTTTTCCGTGGAATGTGCCTGTATGACGATTTATCTGGTATGCACTAGGCTAAGGACACCAAAAGAAAGAGTGTGTAGGGCTTTATAATGTCTTTAAGTGGCTGCGACTGGCTGGCAAATAAGATAGTAAGTCCCCCATCACTGGAGGCATGCAAAGAGAGCAGGGATGCCTCTCTGGGATGCTCAGGAAGGGGTTCCTGAATACCCGGCGATCACTGAGTTTTGCTTCTACCCTGATCTCTCCCATATTATTATTCCAGGGGTTCATGACTCCTTCCTTCCTACCCCTACACATACACACACACACACACACACACACACACACACACACGGTTGCTGGCAGAAACCTTTGAGATTCTAAGCCCATCTCCTCACCTTTCTGCTGAGGAATCGGGGGTATACAACTTGTTAGAGGTAATACAGCAACTCAGAGTCAGTCATACCAGGGACTCAAATTCCAGTCCAGGTTCCCAGCCCAGTACCTCTTCCACCTGGCCCCTGCCCCCCTCCCCCCCCAGCAGTCTGTCCCCAGGTAGCAGAGATTTGGGCTTTGAAGCAAACATTGGCAAGTAGGGTCTCACCTCCCCAGAAGAACACACGCAGAATTTTCATTTGGCCCAGTCCAACCCCTGCCCTGAAAACTCCCTCCCCAGGCCTTTCCCACAGGTGCCAACAACCCACTGCTGGGAATGGACTTCGGCCAAGTCGCAAAGTACTACAAAGCCCAATTTCCTCATTTATAAAATGGAGATGTCAAATGGTGCCCACGAAACAGGGTTGTTGCAGAGATCTAATGGGATAAAGAATGTAAAATACTTTAGAGCGGCGCCTGGCACTTTCAGAGTTCCTGACAAATGGAACGCTGTGCCCGTGGTCTCCGGAGTGCATTTAGTCAATCCTGCAGTGTGAACTGAGCCCTGCTGCAGTGCCCGCCAGGGTGGAGCCTGGCCCCCTGGACCCTCACATCCCAGCGGGGAGAGAAAAATAGTGAACAAACAGGGGAGCAAGAAAAATGCCAGAAGGATGTGCTCCGCAGAACGCCCAGTGCAGGAATGCGACAGAGGGTGGTCCTACTTGTGGGGGTGAAGGAGGGCCCCCCAGCAGAACAGATGTTTGCACCACGATATGAACATCTGGGGCAGCAGCAGACCCCAGGCGCAGCTCCGAGGTGAAGTGCCGGCATGTCCGAGGCATAGGAGCAAGGTCGGTGTGGCCAGGTCCCCACCGGGGCCTGGGGGAAACTCGGAGATCAGAGAGGTGGAGTGCAGATCCCAAGGGGTCTGTGAGCCAAGAGAGGTGGAATAGCACAGCATGGGCAAGACGGAAGTGGGGTGGGTGCTAATGATTACAGGGGGCAGCAGGGAGGCCAATCGAGAACAGTCACAAGGCAAGAGAAGGTGCTGGCTGGGAGTGGGACCAGGACATGGCAGCAGCCAAGGGAAGTAGCCGTAGCCCAGACAGGTGTATTTCAGAGGCACAAGCCACGGGCCTTACTGATGGGTTGGATGTGGAGATGAGGACAAGACAGGAGTCAAGGATGATGCCTAAGTCCTCAGCCTGAGCACCCAGGGTCCAAAGCTGGGACCGCGGGGAGGCTGGCTGAGCCTTTCTCTCTCGTGAGCAGCCTCAACCCAAAGTCCTTGACTGTCTTGCCAGGCTTTTACTAAACATCTAGCCTGCTTTGGGGAAGGAGTTACAAATCTGTAACCACAGAGATGAAAGACAAAGATGCTGCTATTGAGTAGGAGGAAGTGTTTTGTGTTGCGTGCTCACAGAGAATCCTGCCATTTTTTTGAGGTGCTCAAAGGGTGGTTTCTTTCTGTGTAGAAAAAGCTAAATGTGCAAGTTGCCCCAATGACATGAGTCCCCACTTTTGGGACCCAGCTGAGATTCCTGACAGGGGCAGGGCTCCTGAGGAGCTGCTGCTGGGACCCCCTCTGATGCCCCAGGTACCCGGAACATGTGATAGGCCAAGTGTAGGGGAAAGTGCTGAGACGTTATGGCTCATGGAGATGAGGAACTGCCTCCCTGGGACCCAGTGGCACGGTGATGACGGGTGGTCAGCAGGGCTGGCTCAAGCCTACCCCCAGCTGCCACACACAACCCCTGGTGTACAGCAGGCGAGGAGGACCTGGGAGCCCCTTCCGGCCTTCCAGTCACATCACCCCCCACCCGGTCACACCCCCGACCCCCAGGAAACGGCACCATCTCCACCTCCAAGCTTTTGCAGGGGCTGTTCTCCCTGCTCCCTGCAGCCAGAGCAGTAGGCTGGTCTGGAACCCACTTGCCCCCTCTTCACTGAGTTTCCTCCTTCCCCTCAAATATCCCCTCCTCAGGAAGCCTCCGTATCCCTCAGACCAGGGCCGGTCCCCCCACACATTGTTGTGTGCCCCCTTTATATGACTCTTAACACAACTGCAATGAGATGAGCAACCTGCGGTGAGTGTGTGCTCATAGCTGCAGCCCCAGAACCCGCATGGGCTCTGCATGTGGAGGGCACTCGACAGACATGGAACACGGCGTTAGACAGTAATAAAAATAACATTTTTATTATTACAAAATACAGATGCTCCTCGGCTTACGATGGGGCCACATCCCAATAAACCATTGTAAGTTGAAAATATTGCAACTTGAAAATGCATTTACTACTATGCTGTAGTGTTGGTTGTTTTTGACCCTCGTGATCGGGGGGCTGACCCTGGGCCGTGCCCCCTTCTGCTGTGCATCAGGAGAGAGTGTCGTACCTGTACCACATGTCACTAACCCAGGAACAGTTCAAACGTAAGAGCTGAAGAATGATTCCTACTGAATGTGTATCGCTTTTGAAGCATCTTAGAGTTGAAAGATCATAAGTTGGGGGCCGTCTGTAATCACTTTATATTACCGTAAATAATATGACCTACCACGTGCCAGGTGCTGTCTTTCATATTTCACTTTCTGCACTGACTTTCACATCCACCCAGTCAAGGAGGATATAGTATTACTCCCATTTTACAAATGAGGAAACCAAGGCTCAGAGAGCTTGCGGCAATGCGCCCAAGGTCACATGCTATTGAATGACAGCATGGGAAGTAGACTCCTCGCTTTCTGCCCCTGGGGCTCCCCTCTCGGAACGTCAATTTCTGCAGAACGTGGATCCAACCCGCCACTTCTCGGGACTACCCCCTGGCTCTCCCAGAGGCGCCTCGTGCACAGTGTTGCCTAAGGAGTACTGCTTCTTTTCCTACTGTGAGTGACTGCCTAGAAAATCAGACTCATCTTCTAGGCTGAGGGAGACACCCAATCGAAGGAGCATTAACTCATTCCCCCAAATTGCTCGCTGCTTGTGCAGTTGCCAGCTCCCCGAGGACTGTGCCTGGGGTCAGGTACATAAACCACCACACGACCTTCTTTGTACATCTTCGCACAACGGTGGTCAGGTTGCCACAGCCTGGGTTCCCAGGAGGAGCTAGATCTGAGTGACCTGGAAGGGCGTCCATTCTACAATGGGAGTTATAGAATGGATTAAGGGAAGGGAGTTACTAAGTAATATGTGTACAGCGTGTATGAAACAGTGTTCTGTGTGTGTCTGTGTCTGTGTAGGGGCAGAGAGAGAGAGACACGGGAAGTCTCCATCACACCAAATGGCCAGCGACAGGCACCTCCCGGCGTGAGGGCTTGGGTGAGTGATGCCCAGATACTTGGCTCTTCCTGTATACCTCAGGATACTTGGTTTACTGCAGTCAGCATGTCATCGCTTTGCAAGTTTGAAAGGAAAATCCAAGGAGGTGTTTTTTTATGTTAGCTGTGACGGTGACAATGACGACGATGACCTTGGGAGTGCCATGGCCCTCTAGGGCAGTCCTTCTATTCTTGGGGTATGTGATGGGTTGCTCTCCATTCAAGAGGTCACCAGAAACACCTGGTATCTGGGCTGTAGAACAGAAATGCAGCAGATGTGGTTCTCGTTTGAAAAAGAAACCACTGCCATTCTGCTCATCACTGTGCCTCCAGCACCTGCAACCAGCATCTGGCACAATGGAGACTCTGAAAGAAATATTTGTTGAATAGAACAGAGGGAGGGAAGAGAAAGAAGAAAGGAAGGAGGGAGGGTGGGAGGGAGAGAAGGAAGAGGGAGGAATGAATTCCTAATTATATGAGATGTTGGTTCATTCAGTTTGGAAAGCCCCTAAACATTAAACTGAAACATTGGTCAAATGCCAAAATACCTAGACCGGGCCATTAAGGAAACTCAGAGAATATTTTGATCAGAAAGAAGGAGTCTCCAAAAAAAACACTCTTGCTGCTACCATCTCCAAAGTTAATTGAGTGTAGCGGCGAGAGCCGCGCTGTCTGGGCTTTTTATGTAATCAAAAGATCTTCTGAAAATAATACCCAGAGGCTCGGCTTGTGAGGCTGGTGGCTGAGCCAGCTGGAGCAGCAGAAGGTGACCAGGAGCCGTGATCCCTGCACCAACAACACTGTGGTTGCGATGAAATGATGCTTCTCATATTCAGGGTGCAGAACCACTGCAAGCAAGAGCCTGGGAGAGGCTTAAATTATGTCACATGGAGATCAATCAGATTGCTTCCCAGAAGTTCCTCTGTCGACTCCCAGTTCCCGGGAGGCCGTCGGTGCTCCCGTGAAGGGCCCAGGAGTCAAGCAGGGCCTTCGCTCGGGTTGGGATTGTGGGATATCACCACTAGGAGGGAATCTCTGAGATTTCACCAAGACGCATTGTGTGTGCAGCCATTCTATTGAAGTGATGTTTGCAGTGGGACAGGAGGAAGAAAGGAAGAGAGGGAGGGAGGGACTAGAAACCACCCAAAAACCCAGGACAGGGTGATGACAGAATAAACTGTGGCCACCCATCTCCCACCTCCCCACGCCCCGTGGATTGTTAAGCAGCCATTAGAAAGACGTTGTGAGGTCCGCATCTGCTGGCCTGAATGCAGGACCACATGTGTTGCCGAATAAGAAAAGTTAAGATTGAGAGAAATGCTTAGCGCAGGTGGCCGTTAGGTGTGGTCGGCCAATGACAACGGCACGAAATCTGACCCTCCGCCTGGTTTTGGGCAACCCATGAAATGATAGTTTTTGCATTTTTTCCAATAGTTTGGAAATAGTTGGAAAAAAGCTGGAGAAAATATAAAGAAAATATTTTGGGGCCCCTGAAAATTACATGAAATTCAAACATCAGGGCCCATGGTGAAGTCTTCCCCAAGCCCAGTGAGCTGCCTCATGGGCCACCGTCTGTGCAGGCGACTTCCCCTCCATGGCGCCGAGTTTTGTGGCTGCAACAGAGACGGTGCAGGACGCAGAGCAGAAAGAAGTCTCCTGAGCAAGTCCGTCAGCCCCTGGTTCCGGGCATGATGACACTCTGTTCAACAGCGGTGCAGGGCACTGCAGGAGAGTAAATCCGTTGCAGTCGGCCCTCGCCACTTCACGCTTCGACTTCCGTGGCTTCACTGTGGCGGATTTTTCAAATATAGTAGTATAGCAGTGTAGTATTGGAAAAAACCGCGACAGAGTGAAGCTGCGGAAGTCGAAGCGCGAAGTGGCGAGGGCCGACTGTACATTTGCGTATGTACTCATCCGTACTGTGATTTGTCCACTGGACTCTAATGCCCACCTGTGGGGCCAGGTGTGGGGAACCGGTGCTGAACAAGCAGACGCAGCCCACCTGGTGGAGCTTATCCCACAGTGACACATGGTCCAGCCCTTGAACCCTGACACCCCTGGCTCCCTGACACCCCTCTCCTCCCACTGCCTATCCTGATGACCTCAGTGCCTCCTAAGAGGAGGTCCCCAGACTGGCTCCAGGCTTCCTGGTACCTTTCAGGAAGGTCGAGGTCTAGAACAATTCACCTTGAATCAGGTCATGCTCTTGGTCTGGTTTCAAAGTGCTCAACCACTGACCTTTGCACTTTCATCTCCTGCTCCCCAGGGGTCCCAGCAGGGAGAAGCAGCCGTCCTTCACCCCTGCCACATGGATGGGAGTAGCCGTCAGCTATGGAGAAGGATGTGGCCATGTGTTCACATGATCCCTCCCGTATGAAAACAAAACCACCTCCAGACACATGCCCCAGTGCCTCAGCCTCTATACAACACCCAGAGAGAGGAGACCTGCTCCCGTCCCGGGAGGAAGCCAGCTCTGCAGGGGACAATCTGAGGACTGGAGTTTGAACCACCATCTTTGCTTTGTCCTCATTCACGCTCATGCCCACCACCTCCTCAGAGACTACTTTACTTAGTCCTAGAAACACAGCACTGAGTTGGTCATTGTAACCTCCCCACATCAGGACATTTTGGCTCTGTTGGGCAGCCTAGAGCTGTGGGCGGAGGAAGGAGCCTCAGGATCCCAGGATGGAGTCTAACAACACAGCCTCCTGTCTGGACTCCGCCGTGTTCAAGATCTCGGTTGGCTTGGCCCTCACGGCCCTCATTGTCATCACTGTCGCTGGCAATGTGGTCGTCTGCCTGGCTGTGGGTCTGAACCGCCGGCTCCGCACTCTGACCAACTGCTTCATCGTGTCCTTAGCCATCACCGACCTGCTCCTCGGCCTCCTGGTGCTGCCCTTCTCAGCCTTCTACCAGCTGTCCTGCAGGTGGATCTTTGGCAAAGTCTTCTGCAACATCTACACCAGCCTGGACGTGATGCTCTGCACAGCCTCCATCCTCAACCTCTTCATGATCAGCCTTGACCGGTACTGTGCCGTCACAGACCCCCTGCGCTATCCCGTGCTGGTCACCCCAGTCCGGGTTGGTGTCTCGCTGGTCTTAATTTGGGTTGTCTCTATCACCCTGTCCTTCCTGTCTATCCACCTGGGGTGGAACAGCAGGAATGAGACCAGTGAGGCCAATCACACCACCCTGCCCTGCAAAGTCCAGGTCAACTTGGTGTATGGCTTGGTGGACGGGCTGGTCACCTTCTACGTGCCTCTACTGGTCATGTGCATCACCTACTACCGCATCTTCAAGATTGCCCGGGAGCAGGCCAAGAGGATTCATCACATCAGCTCCTGGAAGGCAGCCACCATCAGGGAGCACAAAGCCACCGTGACGCTGGCCACCGTGATGGGGGCCTTCATTGTCTGCTGGTTCCCCTACTTCACCGTGTTTGTCTACCGTGGGCTGAGAGGGGATGACACTGTGAACAAGACCTTCGAAGCTGTTGTTCTATGGCTGGGCTACGCCAACTCAGCCCTGAACCCCATCCTGTATGCCACACTGAACAGAGACTTCCGCACGGCGTACCAGCAGCTCCTGCACTGCAGGTGTGCCAGCCACAATGCCCACGCCACCTCTCTGAGACTCAACAGCTCTTGGCTCTCCAGGACTCAAAGCCAAGAGCCCGGGCAGCAGGAAGAGAAGCCCCTGAAGCTCCAGGTGTGGAGTGGGAGAGAGGCCATGGCACCCCGGGGAGCCACAGACAGGTAACTGCCCTGGCTTTCTGTGCCCAAGACAGGGGCACAGGGAGAGGTCCCACTCATGGTGACCATTAAGGTAGCCGCTGCTCATGAGGTGCTGACTCTCTTCACAGGGCTTCGCAAACCTCATGTTGTGCCATCATCCTCATAGCCCTTGCCAACTCGCCCCTCCCCCCCCCCGAGGTGAAACTTTTTATCTCCATTTTCAAAGGACCATGACTTGGTCAGGGTCATAGACCTGGAGCCTAGACAGAGGTCCCCAGCTGCAGAAGTTGTGGGCCCTTTTTACTAGCTACATTTTCCTGACAATCAGAAGTCCTAAGTGTGAGGCCCAATTCTGTGACGTAGCTAGTAGTCACAAGTGTCCACTTAAATCCCGCAGGACAGCCCTCAGGTGGCCGTGCACAAATGCCAACACTGGGGGTGAGATGAGGCACCCAGCTCATCCACTGAGCACCTATTACGCATCAGCTCTTACGCTGGGGGCACTCAGGTCAGAGGAGAAAGAGGACCGGCCAAGTCGGAAAGGCAGGGGCTTGGACACTGTACCACTGGTCTTAGGGGAAGATGAATGGGTTAGAAGCACAGGCAGCTCTGTGCTTTGGAAAGAGGGCTCGGGTTGTCCCCTAAGATGTGGATAAGAAAGATGAGATGGGACATCGGTGACGGGGGCTGTGGCACTGGTCTGTGAGAGAGGAGAAGAGAACAGTGCAGAATCTAGGAGGCTATGGAATAAATAGGCTTGGGAACACTGGATGTTTGGGGTGCAGGAGATTTAAGGGGAAGGATGCCCCATGATTCATCTCCAAGGAGTATCCAGGAAACAGGATCAGAACGAGACTAAGACCAATCCACCGGTGACAAAGCCAATGCAGGTGTTTAATGGGAAGCTGCACCAAAGACTTGAGGGGTGCTGAGACCCGCACGGCGTGGAGAGGAGGGTCTGGGTGAGCTGGGAGAGCACTGAGTGACGGGATGTGGGTAGAACACCTGGTGCACAGATGGGCTCAGTAAGTGTCACCTTCCTTTCTCTTCCCCAGACCATGCCTTTGACCCTAGCATGCTGGTCTGTGTGACTGACCCATTCATTCACCCACAAACATTGATCAGCTTCCCATCATGGGCTGTGAACCGTGCTGAGCAAATGTAGAAATGGCATGTGGGGTATTTCTCAGCTCAGCCCTCACTCACTCTGGCTTGAGCAAGTTCCTGTCTCAGTTGCCTCATCCCATCGAGCGTCCTCATGCGGCCTGCCCTGCTCCCCTCCCAGAGCTGTCAGAAGGGTACGCAAGTTAAGGGGTGCCAGCAGGCTCTGCCACCCCTGTGGATACTAGTTCCTTCTCAGGCCCTGAGTGTCAGTCTCAAGAAAAGCTTGGCTGGGCACCACAGAGCCACACCCTCTGGGTTCTGGTCTCTGCGGATCATTGTGGGGGAAGGCTATCCAACTGGACGACTTGGCCGCATGTCCCCTCTGGCCCTTGCAGCGCCAGGTGTGGAGTGTCCCCTCACAGACTCGGGTCCTGGGCCCTCCACTGCTAACCTCCTGGCCTCTAGCCTCCCTCTCAAATCCGTCCCCCAAGCCACCCGAAGGTGTCTCTCCATCATGCAGATCTGGAGACGTCACTCCCGGCTCTGGTGGGTAAAATGCCCACCCGTGTCCGGCCACACTCCCTCATTCAGGAAGCAGCTTTGAGAGCAAAGCTAATTTAGTTCAGAAAGCAAACAAAGAACAAATCCGGGGTGTGGCCTCCCGAGAAGGTGCCAGCCGGATTCGGTGTGGTCACGCACACTTCCTCCTGCTCTCACCTGAGGGGTCTCCGGATGAGTAGTCCGCTTTACCCCTGGCCCCTAGGGAGACATTCAGCAAGCACTAAGAAGCGCTGGCCGCACAGGGCGCCACTAGCTGCCGGTTTTACAACCTTGCCATTGTTTCTGTGTGCTGATCATTCTTGAGGGCATCCTATCCCGAGCTAAGGGTGCAGAGGGAGATACAGCGAGACCCCCACCATGCCACCACTCCGCCACCTGTAGCTGCTCGGGGTGTACACAAGGAGCAGACCAGTCATGGTTCAGTGCAGCACGTGCCAAGGATGGAAACGTCATGCACTGAGCACCAGGCAGCCTGTCCCAGGGGGCAGACCTGTGAGCTGAGCCTTGCACGCAGATGGGAAAGACCCGTTCATCCGGGATGGTGGCGGACCCTTCCAACTCGTGGCCTCATTTCATTCTCCGCATGACTTTACAGATGGGAAAACTGAGGCTCAGGGAAGTTAATTAAATTGCCCAAGTGACACAAGCTAGTGAGTCAGCCAAAGCCAAGATCTGAGCAACGACACATATGGCAGCCCCCACTCCTGACTGCCCTGTGAATGCCGGGCACGCTGAGGGGTGTGGGTGTCCACCTGCTCTTCTGATGCTCACAGCCACCGGGGGTGGGGGGCGAGGAAGGCAGCGAGGCCCCTGAAAGGCCGAGCCGGCCTGAGTCATGCACAGTGGCTAGTCAGCAGCCCAGGGAAGCAGTGCACTAGACCCGGGGCTGGGGCAGAGGGGGATGGGAAACCAGTTGAAGGACCTCACACAAGGTGAGGGGGTGGGGGATGGGGGGATGGGAGGCCAAGGACAGACAGGTGGATTTTCCCACCGAGGCTGCCAGGGCAATCGGGACCTTGAATGACCGTCCCTAAGGTCAGCTCCCAGCTTCCCTGATGCCAACAGAATGTCCTTCCAGCTGTTGATCTGGGGACAAAAACCAGTGTTGACCTGACTGAGAACCCTTATCACTTCTGAGGGGGTGGGGCTGTCTGCTTGAGCCCAGAACTCCAAGGGACTGATCTGGGCCTGCCCTTGGGGTGGCGGCAGGGTCAGCCAAGGGGAGACTCAGGAGTGAGAGAGACCCAGCTTGTGGTCAGACGGCAGCCACCTCCCCCACAGGATGTGCTGTCTGCCCCTCCCTGACCCCAGCTGGCCTCCTTCACCCCACTCCCATCACCTCTGCCCTGGGCAGCCTCACCTGCCTCCTCTCCGATGCCCAGTCTCTGCCCCTGCTCCAGCCCCTGCTCAGTACCCTGGCCTTCTACTGGACAGAGGCTGCGTGAGTTTCCGAGGGCTGCTGTAACCACAGCTGTGACCCTGGAGGCTGAAAACACGCAAATCTCTTCTCCCATGGTTCAGGAGGCCTGGATGGAGTCTGAGACCAAGGTGTCGGCAGGGCTGGCTCCTCTGGAGGCCCCAGCTCGAATCCGTTTCCTGGCCTTTTCCAACCTCGGGCACCCCTCCCCCCACTCCTTGGCTTGTGGCCCCTTCCTCACATCCCTCAACCTCTTGCCTCCGTCCTCACATTTCTCCTCTGTAGCCAAGTCTCCCTCTCCCTCCCTCTTACAGTAGAGAATTTGTGGTTATATTTAGGGCCCCTGGCATAATCCATAATAATCTCCCATCCTAAATTCCTGCATTTAATAATATCTGCCGAGCCCTTCTCCATATAAAGTAACATTCTCAGGCTCCGGTGATTTGGATGTGGACCTGTCTGGGGGGCCATGTTCAGCTACCCCAAGTCCCAGTTCCTTAGCCTGTCATGGGGGGCCCTCCATGACTTGGTCCCTGGCCACTTCCTGCTACCACTCCCAGCCCCCTCCCCCTGTTCTGCCCCTGCCACTCAAACCACTCGGAGTGCGTGACTTCACAAGCACTCACCGAGGCTTTGCTCTATGCTGTACTGTCCGGGGCACAGCAGTGAGCAGAGCAGAGGCCTCTTCTCTGAGGGGCGTGGTTCGAGAGCAGTGGTTCTCGAAGTGTGGCCCCTGGCCAGCGAAGATGCCAGCAGCAGGCCCCACAGCCTCATCCGTGGCAGAGCTGGGACTTCGGCCTAAGCGGTCTGGTCCAAAGCCTGGGCTCTTTCCATGATGGAATGCTGCCTAGACTTGAGTTTAGTCCAGACTCAGGTACCAGATGGGAAACTAAGGCACAGGGAGGCAAGTGACCTGAGGTCCACAGCAAGCTCCAGAGGGACTCCAAGCCCCTGTGTCCCTGGACCACTGCCAGGGACTCTTGGGTCCTTCTCCCAGCACCTGCTGGCCCTGGGCAACCTCCCAAGGCAGGGACATAATATGCACAAACTCCAGGAATATCAGGAGTCTCTGTGGGGTGTGGCACTTCCTCATTCCCACAGAGCCCCTGTGCCTGCAGCTGTGATACTCTTGGGGCCTAGAGACTGGAGTCAGGGCTTAAGAAAGACCTCGGGAGAAGAGGTTGAAAGGGAGGCAAGGAGTCCTCCACCCCACCTGCCAGCTCTCCCCTCTGTCTGCTCTTCTTCCTTCTGCAGCCAGAGAGAGCATTTCCCAGCGTAAATGGGATTATGGCTGCCCCTCCTGGGTGCATGTGGAATAAAATACCGAGTCTTATCCTGACCACCGAGGCCCTGCCGCCAGCCCAGACCATCTTCTTACCTGTCTTAGCACATCCTACATGTTTAATGTCTGCTCCCCCAGACGGGGAGCTCTCTGAGGGCAGGACGGAGTCTGTAACATTGACTGCTGTGTCCCTAGCGCCTAGCACTGTGCCCGGCATGAGACATTTCTTGAATGAATGAATGAATGAATGAATGAATGAATGAATGAATACCTTGTTCTAGGTCCCCTAGAGCACTGAGAAGTGAGTAATACTGCCCCTACTTTAGAGATCAAGAAACCAAGTGTCAAAGAGGAAAGTTCCAGGAACCTAGTGGGAGTTCAGAAATACTGGTTCCCCTTTTCTAAATCGGATGTCACAATAGTCCTCCCTCCAAATTACTGGCACCAGGGGCAGGCCTCACAGAAGAACCCGACGCTGGCCGAGACTCAGTGTTAGGGTCTTAGAGGAGGAAGAGGCCTCTTCCCTCGCTGTGTCACAGCGGAGCCCAGGCAGGTGAGGAAACCTGGGTCAAAAGCACAGGAAACGCTCCTAGTTGAGGCGGGACCCCCGACAACCCAGACACCGTTCACCGTGACTGCACAGCCTGGTGGAGCCAG